TCGGCCACTCCCGTCCCACTGCCCCAGGTAAGGCTATCTTTCCGTGGGGGTGCGGGAACCCCAGGCTGCCTTTACGCAGGAGATTGAAGGTCATCTTTATGCGTGAAGTTCAAGGAGAAACCTTGACTAGCGGGATTCTGCTTCTTTTTTTCTTTAGGGCGTAAAGTACAGGGATTCTTTTCTCTTTTTCTTCAAGGTTCAAAGTACAGAGAGGGAGCCCGCAGCCGCAGGTAAAAGTCTGGTGTTCCTTCTCTTGGCAGCTTTGCCAGGAACACACCCACTGGGGTGGGTAGAGGGAGCTGCGTAATTCAAGCCCAGCTCCTCAAATGAACTGCCGGGAGCTCCGGGAACGAGTTCAGAGCCCCAACGTCAGGTTTCTGGAAGGCAAGAAGTGAGTTGAGCTGGAGAATTGCTCTCAATACAGTAGGAGAGCTGACAAATGCATACAACATAATCGAAGCGCAGAGCTTTAACGCACCCTTCTCCAAGATCCCTGGAACAAGGCCTTCGCGTCCTGCTTCCCAATCTGAAGAGGGCAGACACCCAGGTCAATTTGTTGAATGGGCGAATTTGTGGCTATCAGTAACCCTGCCGCCAACACCATTGTTGATGGAATAATGAAAAATTGGGAAAAGTGGGGGGAAAATAGATTAAGTTACAGAAAGTTGAGCAGAGTAGGTGGTGGTGGTGGGGGTGGGATAGCTTTGGGCGGAAGTTAGGCTATCAAAAGCCTCCTTGATCCTTCTTTCTTCTGGGTCTTCTGTTCCTGCCAGGTGAAGAATGCATGTCCCCTCTCCTAAAGATGACCAGGCTGGAGGGAGAGGGGCTGAGGGTGGGGAAGGCTGGGGAGTCTGAGCAAAGCAAAGTAGCATCTTCTGGCATGATCTGTTTTTATTTACAAACAGAAAGAAACAGTAGTTCTAATGCATTCAAACTGAGTAAATGTGTTTAGAGAACAGGATTCACTCAACCTGGAACTGAAAGAAATTGTAGTTCTAGTGAGTTCAGCTGAGTAAATGTGTGTTGAGAGAACAGGATTCACTCAACCTGGAACTGAAAGAAATTGTAGTTCTAGTGAGTTCAACTGAGTAAATGTGTGTTGAGAGAACAGGATTGACCCGGCCTGGAGATAGTAAGAGAAGAAAAGGTGGTCCCTATCTCTGGGGTAGATAGGAAATGGGTTGGAGAGGAAAAATACTGGTACAGAGGTGCTCACTTGGAAAACTTTTGGATAAGAAGTAATCGAGGGCTCAGTGCGGGGCTGGCAGCGGAGATAGGAGAACAGCTTTGAGCTTTCAGTTGGACATAGAATCAGGTCAAGCTTCTGATGCTTAAGGACAAAGACAAAATCAAGGATGACTGCAAGGATATTAATTTTTCAGTACAGACAGTCCCTGACTTATAATAGTTTGATTCACGATTGACTTTACAAAGGTATGAAAGTGATGCACATTCAGTAGAAACTGTACTTGGACTTGAGAATTTTGATCTTTTTCCAGGCTAGTGATATGCAGTAGCATCGTCTCTCATATGCTGGGCAGCGGTAGTGAGCTGCAGCTCCCTGTCTGCCATGCGATCACCAGGATAAACAGCTGCAATTCCACAGATGTGATTTTCAACTGGTGTGCCACAATTTTTAAAACACGCAGTAACTGACTATTTAGTCAGGGGCACTGGCCTCTTCTCCCTTAGAGTGTCAAATAAAATAAATGACAGCAGCCAACACAATAGCTTTCCGATGTGAAAGGATCAAAATTATACCTATTTTTTTGTTGGATCAGCAAAAATATATAATTTTCAGGGTGCCGCAGAATTTTAATAATTATTTATGTGTGCCATGAGATTTTTAAAAAAGGTTGAAAATCACTGTTCTACAGTATACTGTGTTTGGATATTGTGTTCTGCACATGTTTAACGTAGGCTAGGCTAAGCTATGATGTTCAGTAGGTTAGTTGTATTAAATGCTTTTTTAATGGTATCCCCAACTTGCTTTCAAATGACTCAAAAACAAAAGTCTCTATACTTGGAAAAACAAAGCAATGTTGCAAATTGATAGCTGGTGATTGGTAGATTTAGGTAAAGTGAATACAGGTAGTCATTGAACTGGCTTTTCAATTTTTCCCCAGCTCTAAACTTTTCAAAGATGGGGAGAATTGGTTTCTCTAAATTGTTCTCTAATCACTTTTGCTTAGTTCCTTCTAATCACTCTATCTATGTATCTATCTCTCTATCTAATCATCTATTTTCTCATTTGTTGAATCTCCCATTAGAATATAAGCCGTGTCTGGTTCACTATTGTATCCTAATGCCTAACTCAGGGATAGCTACAGAAAATCTATTTAGCATACTAAAAATTTTAAAGTGAACTGAAAGTTATTTTTTTGTAGTTAAAAACTAGAGTAGGCTCTTTTATCTTCTTCTCTGCCTTCTTTTTATAGAATAAAAATCTTGAAAACCAGGAGCAGAAAGCTAAGAGAACTACTGGGCTTCTCCCAACCCTTCTCCTTCTCTCACACATGGAAATCCTTTCATGGAAAGCCAAGTGAGTAATGAAAACTACAAGTAGCCAAAGAAAGGTGGAGGTGGATGGTGTGGTGGTGGGTGCTATTAGTTCTTCACTGCTTTGCCAGGTACACATTCCCCAGCCTAGGTAGGTTGTGACTCCAAGAAATAATTAAACTCAACACATCAAACTCTAGAAAAAAGATCCGCCTTAGATTATTGATTATTAACCAATAGCAATACACAAAATGAGGAAAAAAATGCTGTAATATAGCTTATATTTTATTTTCCTTGTTCCCTGTATTCGATATTCATGTTTACATTTAGCTGTTGTAGAAGAATGGAGGTACTGTGAAAAAACAAGAGGATATTTATTGTCACTGAACCGGATCTCGGATTAAAAGGAATTAGCATGCACACGCACACACACACACACACGCACACACACACGCACACGCGCACACACACACACATGTGCTCTCGACCTATACCTCACCTGGTGGTGGCATAGCCCAATTGCAATTTCAGTCTTTTTGAATGACTTGATCTCTTAATAACCAACCAAATTGTTAAAACTCAATACATGATCACAGTAAGAGCACCATAAATAAATACACAATATACTTATGATAAAATAGAACCCTTCATGGCCCAAAGTTTATTTAAAAATTATTTTTGTATTTCTAAGACAAGTAATACATGTGCTTATTAACTTATATTTACTTTTGTCCAAATAAAATTTCTAATAAGTACAATAAAAACAAGTGTATTTTGTACCTACTGTATTCTGGTACTTTTAACAAAAGTAGCTTTTTAGACAGTCATTGTTATAATCTAAAATTAAAATTTATGCTTCTTGGTTTTGGATCCCTAGTGAATAGTATTTAATCTTGCTTTGTTCATCTATGACTTAACATTTTCCTATGGATAATGGAAACAGCAAAACACTGTAATTATTTTAGCAAAAAATAGTTCCAAGATACGTTAGTAACTGAGTATTTTAAAATGTAAATAAAAACACAGGCCAAATGAACAGAGGCCAGGTTTAAGAAAACTTCTGTAATTTACATTAAAAAGCCATAAAATGACCCATCTAAAAGCAGAAATCCAACTAATATATAAAAAATGAAATAAACTGTATATGAGAGAAAAGAGTAAATAACAAGATACTCGTTAGTTCTGTGGCGGTAGCTTTCTGTAAAGTGGGAGCTGGTACAGCCTCTGGCATCAGAAATAGAGGGCCACCCCTTACTGGGTGTGTGACTGAACATCTGTGAAATGTTAACAGTGATATAATATCAATACCCACTCTCTCAGGGCTGTATTTAGGATTAAATGAGCTAATGAATGGACCATTTTTAGTGCATTGTTTGGCACTTGGTAAGTAACACAAATATTTTGATGATAATGATGCTGAAGATGGGGAAAACCATGAGAAGTGAAGTAAAGTGCTTTTTGGTAAGTTACAATGGAAAGTCTCTCTCATTGGCTTAAGGTGGTTTTATAGGAAGTAGTCAGTGGAAAGACCTGTACTAGGCCCTGGACAGCTGACTTCAATCTCTCCTGATGAAGTTCACAGTTGAGTTCAATGAGGAGTTTGCTTGACCTTCCAGCCCCAACATCGATCTCTTCTTTGTAGGCAAAGTAGGAAGAGAGCTGATGGAACACTCCATACTAATGGAGAATTCGAGTTGCCCTATTTAGTTGATTGTTTTATTTTATTCAAATAAAGAGCTCATTTACATTCAGCTCTCAATGAGAAAGGGGAGAAATTAACATTGCCAAACATTGCCATGCCTACTTGTCCCAAAGAAACTCCACGAGGAAACAGCCACTTTTCCACAGTCCCTGAGGACCTGCCTTGAGAATGAAACACAGACCAAATTATTATAGGATTTTAGTTAGTCTTTAATATTACTCCAACTCTTTAATAGTAAACAATGATGTAAGTACAAAATATCCACACACGTTACCTATCAGTAGTTCCGAACAGTCACAGGGGTCACTCACATTTTAAGGAAATGGGATCTACCCTGATTCAGTGGAATTCATGCTCTGGCAGTTGGAAGAAGGAGGTGAGGCTTATTTTGTGCAAAGTATATTCACTTTACCGAAAGCAGCTTTCTTCTCTCTCCTTTACTTGGCATTAAAAAAAAAACACAAAAAAAAAACCTGTTCATTTTCCTTTGTGTTAAAAGTGCAACAAGGACTGAAGGGGCCTTTCATGCCTGAAATACAATTAACTATACACGTCATACATCCTGGCTCAGTTTTACGAGTTAAATTCCCTCAGAACGAGCCATTCATTGAATACTAATTGTTACGAGAAGTGAGCACACTTGGATACCCAACATCCACGTTAGAGCTCACAATACAGGGCTCTGTGGTACAAAGTGCCTATGAGCAGCTTCCTATCGTATACAGAGGCCACAGAACTTCCCTGGAGAACAGATCCATTGTTGGCATAAACGATGGTCACTGTAGGCTTCTCTGAGAGAATATTCTGGATGCGGAGAACCTATTCAGGAGAGACAAAAGATTACTATAGAACCGCCATACATCCACATCTCTCCATCACCAATGATCCTTGTCTCCCACAATGAAACAATGATTAAGAGGACATGCTGTTGAAAAATAGCAGTTACCAACCTTTTTTAATGCTTAAATTAAAGCACTTTCTTAAAGCTTCAAAGAAAGTACTTTCTTAAACTATCTAGTTATTTCCTGCCAACACAGGATTTAGTGTTATTATAGTAATTGAGCATTAATAGGAATACTTCCACACTAATGTGCCTACTTTCACACAACTTTAGCTTGAACAAAAGCCATGTCATGTGGTGAGCTGATGATAAGCCAGGTATTTAAAAATTGCCAGGATACCACATAGGGAGGCCACATGTCTTTATAAAAATGCCTTTTGACTAGCTGCCACCATAATTTCATACATCAAAAGATTACCTTTCTAAAAGTATTTGAGCAATGTGAAATTCTGCCAATTATTGGCTTAAAGCAATTACAAAACCACTACATTAGTTTACTGTATTATTGGTTTAAAAGGACTACATCAACCATCCCCATGACAGTTTATTGTATTAGTAGTTCAAAAAGACTCTAATTAAGGTTGAAAAACGAAAACTATAAAAACCTGTGAGGAAGGAGGATTGTTCGGGTCATAAATGAAGAGCTTCTGGCCGTTAGGATGACAGCCTACCAAGATGTCCCCCGAGGAAGGATCAACAGATAAATTATCCACCAGTGTATCCAACTTGAGTACCTTCCAAATTAAAAAATGTCAATAGTTAAATAACATGGGAAACTTGAATTAAATAATTCAGGGCTAACCTTTTCTGTCTTGGTGCATGAGGGCGGGGGTGGGGGGCAGGGATTACACACACCTCCCTGCTGCCAGCCTTTTAACACCAATATTGGTTCAAATAAATTTAATCAACTGATTTAGAGCCACTTTTCATCTTCCCTGAAATTAAGAAAGTTAGGCTGATAACCAAACTCTAAAACATGAACTCCTTAAAAGATGCATAATGATCAGTGAGCTCAAAGAACTCATTCAAAGCAAAATAGGAAATTCTTAATCAATCTAAAATATGTGTCAAGTAGGAAGAAAATAATAATGGTGTAGTACTCAATTTCTACCTTCATTTACTATTAAAAGAAATGATAGCATGCATAAATCTTCATTTCAGAATTTATCTATTAGTCTTTTCAATTGGGAAAATTCTTATTGGAATGCATCAGGTGACATATCATTCCCAGCCCACCGCTGCATGTAATGCCGGTCAGTCCTCATGACTGCTGGAATAGGAGACTTGGCCGGTTATACCACGGTGATGTTTAAAAACCCAAAATAGCAACACTGGCATCCATAGTCTGTTCTAAGTGAGGTATTGCAAAAGCATAGTATAACTATGCAATTTCAAAGTATATTAGATTAATGTTGACTTTATATATAAAAAGAAATATTTTACCTTCACTTGAGTTAAATTCATATTATGCTGTTTTTCCAAAACATGAATTTCATGAGCCAATATATCAGCTACATAGATGTACCTTTGCAGAAAGGACACATTGGTTAGAGCTCCATGACAACATAAAGCTTCATTAATACAGTATGCAAGAATGAGTCTTAATAACCTGCCGAGAAGTTAATCAATGGTGGGCCCTCAAGCAATGCTTGATAAAGGTCAATTTTTATTTAAAAAGTAAGCTTTCAAAATCAATTCTGTGTTGCTACAACAATCACGAAATTGTTCAATTATTTTTCAAAAGGTTTGTAAGGAAAAGTAATATAGGATGTCATTATGAATATAAAGTCTGTGATATTTGCCACTGAAAGGACAATGAAATAGATGTTTGGCTTCAGAAAAAAAGGTTTTATATTTCACAATATAATTTGATACTTCTACATATCATTTACATGTTATGGTACAGAACAGTACACATTTTACTACAATGTGTATTAACATATTTAATTACATATTGAAAATTTTAAGCGTAAGAGTTAAGTATCTATTCAGAACAATCTGTCTAAAGGGTGAATTAATGGACTACTTTATGGTAATTTCCTTCATTGAATTGACCGTTCCATGGCAACTGTTCTATTGAGCAATTATCACGTGTAAAGCCATGAACTCAGTATTGTGACAGATAGAAACATGAAAAAGACACAGCCTTTTTCCTGAAAAGTTTATAGTATATTGGAATGATCGGACTGGTTTATACACATTAAACAATAATGCACCATGACTGCTACCATAAGAAATACTTCCGGTCTAGAGACTGAAGAAATATCTAATTCTTGAGAACACAGAAGGGCTCACAAAGGAAAGGGGATCTGCAGTGATATGGAACTAGAGGCTGGAGTTGAGGATATGAGGACAAAACACCATCAAGACAGGCGAAAACATGTGAGCAAAGGCACAGGGGCAAGAATGAGAAAGGCATGTTTGCTAAATAATGAGTTCTTTGTCTAAAGCATGGGCTGTACCAAAACAGTAGAAAAGGGAGGTCTGAGTTAGCCTATTA